ACTTACTCACAGAACACTAATGTGTTTCCAACAGCATTTTAATTCAGCTTTTTGATAGACGTACCAATAACTTTGACAGCATGCTTGCCTTCTCATAAAAAGAAGAGAGTAAATCAGAATTTCTCTATGACAACGTCCATCTATATATACAATTAATAGAAAGCGTGCTTGTGTGCGTTACTGAAGTACGCAGCACAATATCCAGACTCTAGAGAGCTGCTCACAATGTATTGCAAATGGTTTGGGTAAAACTTACGTGGCCTTGAAAGAATACTGTTCAAATCAACAGGAACTCTAATAGGATCAGGCCCTTAATGCAGCATTTGTAATGTCTGCAATATCAGAGCGTATGTTAGAATTTTATTGAGGCTATTTGCCTGTATAGAGGCCCAAAGACTGGATCCCTAAGCATCTGTGATATGCTGCAATCAACTGCCACAAGTATGATTTGTTTTTACAGCAAATTAGCATTACACAGCCAAGTAAAATTACGTAGCCAGCTGGGCTTTTGCAAATTCCTTACCGTTGTAGGAACAGTCTTATTTGCTTCTTGATAGACATGTTGTTCTGAGACTGAACTGCTAGGGAAATAACCAACTGTCCCCATATGGTCTTCATACTGTTCTCCATAAACCTTCAAGCAAGGAGATGTATAATTAGGTACCTTAAAACAGTCCTCATCTGGTTTGAGCTTGTTCATAATTTAGTCAAAAGCAGTTTCTAGTAGTGTTTCTTACTCTGGTTTTACATTTCCTAGTTTCCAGTTAGCTGGCACATGAAACAAACCATTAACACAAGTCCTGATACAGGCATACATTTTTTGGAGTAAATTAATACCGCCTATAGTTTACCTGGAATTTTTTTATAAATGCGGCTAATATTTATCTTTGCTTCCCTTAAATTTAAGATTTCCGTGGCCGACTGTGATAAAAGGTTTCTCCATAGTTTCAGCAAACAGCCATAGAAAAGAACTGTTGAGCCCTTCTGTTAAGGTTCAGTTCATAATTACCATATAGTTATTGAAGATATTTCATAAAAAAATAAAAAATTAAACCCCTCAAGACTCCTCAATCAGTTTAAGTTTAATCATTCACTTTGAAAACTAAGTTGCTGCTTTAAAACCCACAATAGCTCAGCGTTAGCATCCATTTCTTGACAGAAATTCGTGTTAATCTACTTCCGTTCTGCTCATATACGCAAGAATCTCCTCTTACACTTCCAGCCCAGAATTCTCCAGAGTCTTTTTCTTTCACTAGTTTTGAGTAAACATAAATCAACTGCCCTTTTTTAATATTAATGAATCTGCAGTCTGGAGCATTATAATCCTCTTCCACTCTGGCAAGGGAAATGGTGTCTAGAAAAAAAAACAACCAAGAATGAAGTTGGACGATTTAAAAAATATATATATACACTTTTATAGAGAGAAATGTATGTGTGTGTGTGTATGCACACATGTAAAACTATTTCTACAGACACAAGTAGGTTATCCTCAAATTAATAGAAGTCTACCAGAATTTGTCCGGCTCATTTTTCTATTCTCCAGTAAGCAAAGTAACAGCTTAAGAACGTGCCATTTCATCCCAGTGGAAGTTACAATCCTTCTCTCTACGCTTACTTTCACTCGAGTGAAAAATGTCCCTTACAAATCCCTTTTTGCAGTAAAATGGCATGCGACACTCCACATAAACCCTCCCACTCTGCTTTTTAAGTTGACAAACCGATTCAAATATAACAAAGCTAAATAAGCAGAGTAGTTTTCCCTCACACTACCGCATCCAAACTCCACAGTAATTTTTGAGATTATTTTGTCCTCAAAATTAAAGCAAAATTACTTACAGACACAGTTGTCATCAGCACACAGCTTCTTGCTGGCAAGCTTGTCCATAAAAATTCCAGTTACAAGAGGACACATTAATCCGAGAGACAAAAGTAAAACAACCAAATAATCATGTCGTGTCATTTTAATTTGCCGCAGCGCTTGCCGAATGTGTGCTGGGTCCAGCAATCCCTGTCTTTTATGGAAGAGGCAGACACCTGGACAAACACGCCGGGCCAACGGGAAGGGGTTGGGACAACATTCCACCCCACCAGAGGAGCCACAGGCAGAGGAAGACCTCAGGGTCCACTTACGAAACCAAATCCCTTCCCAAAGCCATTCTGCATTAACATTTCAATCAGCAACTGTATTATTTAAACGTTCTAAGCCTTCCTGTAGTTGTCCATAATCTTAATCTTACCTCAAGCAAAGTTTGAGAATGAAAAATTAAGTCAGACCCTGGTCAGCAGCAAAGGAAATTACATCCTTCCAAATCCTAAAGTCCTTCATTTTCTCAAATGCTCACTGACAAATGTAATCTTCCCTGGAACATAAACCCGCAGTGGCAGAGATTTCCCTGTTACGGTCTATGGAAAGGACCCTAACGCATGGATGCAAATGTAAACAAACCATTTGGGAGTTGAAACACAGTAGAAAGGCTTTGCAAGTCAACAATTTCAATTTGATGTCTAAAAGTTCAAGCACCACATACTTGTATAGGCAAGATCCCTTCCACAGAGACGCAGTCGAGAGCAAAACACACAGGTTACGCCAGGACAGCGACCATTTCACTTTTATTTACATAGCTGAACTCAGTTGAGAGTTTGCAGATGCAAGACGCTGAACAACATACAGTGCCACAGGCTGACTTAAAAGGTCCTCTTTATGCCTTGGAGAGGACATGTAGAATTCATCTAACTTCCCAAAAGCTTGTCCTAGCACACATGAGGCAAGACTTGTAGGGAGTATTTTAAGTAAAATAGATGCACACATACACACAAAAGGAACAACCACCGGAGTTACTGCACTGTAAGCAATTCACATCACAGCTGTCAGGCTACAGAAGGCTGGTCTGGATCAGTCCTTGTAAGTGACCAAGAGCAAGTTTGGGAATTCCCAAAACATCACTGCAGAGAACCAGCGCTTCCCGATTCACAAGGAGGCCTGAAGAGCTGCTGGCCGTACCAGCTTTCAGTCCGCAAGCAGAACGGAGGAAGCTGTCAACTGTCGTCCAAAATCACACACTCTCTTTTACAGAAAGAGCATCTTGCAGTTTCTGGCATCGCCCTCCCATTACAGCGGACTTCACCACATTCTCCTCTTCCAGCCCGTTATTCCTTCCTCCAGCCTCCCGTATGTAGTGTCTAACTTCCTTTGCAGACAGCTCCACACAAACCCTTCTAACTGAATAAAGGTGAAGACCAGTGGTATGCAATGGTAGTCTCATGTACACAGACTAGTGGGATGAAAGGACAGCATAATTAATACTTATAAAATGATGACTGCAGAAGGAAAAACATAAGGTTCATGATGGAATAACATAGTCACTTTTGCTCCCTTACAGGCACATTGAAACGATTTTCACTCGCAAGTATTAGAATACTTGTGAAATCGCACAGACAAAAAAAAAGCACTAAAAAGAATGAAAAAAAACATACATGGAGATAGGACAGTAATTGAGATGACTGTGGAAGAGGCATCATCTTGCAACGTACCCTGGGAGCAGAAGATGAAAGATTTTTCAGGTCTTGTGCAAAAAAGGTGGTTTATGTAGCTGGTTTTATGCTTACAGATAACATAGCACTTGCTCAGAATTGAGTGGACGTGCCAGCACTACAAAGTATACCAAGATTTTATAAAAAGCAATCATGCTTCCCTGAAGGTGCAGCACTTTGTCCAAAGAACAGTTTTAAGTCAGATCTCACTTGTTCCAGAACAGAAGCTAGGGGAAACAGATGCTCTGCAGCTACAGCCAAAGCCCACAGGAAGGGACTGTACCGAGCCACGGTCATAGAGGAAAGGCCTCCAGCATCCTTCCTCCCGCCCCCATTGACCAAATTACTTTGGAAACAGAAAAAACCTCAACACTTGCAATGTAGCTACAATGCAAAACATTCTTCCTTGTAGTTTCTTGCCTAAACATCAGCTACTCCAATACTTACCTGAACTACTTCTAAAGGAAATCATGCTAACTCTACCCCATTACTTCTTTGTCCGAAAGGGTAGTCAGAGGCCTCACAGAGAAAAGTATTCAAGAAGCGAGGAATGGTGCAACACGACAAGCGCTGTGCGACCGCTTCCTCTCAAACGTTCTTCTTCAAGGGTCTGATTGCAATCCTCCTAGCCAACACCATACAACAGCTACTGCAAGATTCACCAAAAATATAATCATATTTTAAGTAAACTTCATTATTCTCTTAGCCTAAAATATCTTTCTAGGTCTTCCATCACCCAAACAAAACACTTCAGCTTTTAAAAGTGATTTTTCCACCCAAATATTTGTAACAGTTACAACTCAAAATACTACATCTGTTTACTTCACTGCATTCTGTGTATTTCATGTCACACACCACCTGTAAAGGTTTTTGACAAACGGATAAAAAAACCAAACCCAACAACAAATCCAGAGGAATTACGACACATATTTTGGAAAAACCTGCGTATAAACAGACCATCAGGCTCATCTGCATTGTCTTTGTAAAGAGCCAGAAAGCTCTTCCTAAACCACTTATTAAAATCACTGGTAATAGGGCTGGAAAAAGCAGAAGAGAAGACAACAGATAAACTTCTATGTTTCTTCTGTGGACCTGCTTCTACTACCAGCCATCATTAGAAAGACAAAACCAGGCTGAACGACAGTGCTGTCAAACTGTAATCAATTTCTACCCATACCTGGGAAAAAAACCCACTAATGATAAGTTGTTTTTCTTAAGTGACAATTATTCTTGCTGAAAAGCAGCTGTCCCCTCGATAATGAGGCTGGAGATCGAGTGTTGCATTTATTTAAGCTGACA